CAACCCCGGAAAGTGCGGCAAAAATAAGCGCCTGCACGTGTAGGCGCGCATCTTAGCCAAGGCTCGCGCCTACACGCGTAGCTGCTTGTGTCAGATACGCGCCCACACGTGCAGGTGCGAGCCCTAGCTAACATGAGCGCATCCACGTGCAGATGCGCATTTGGCGAGCTCGAATATAAGCGTCTACTCGCTCGTGCTGGCGCTCGTTTTAGCTAAGATACGCGCCTACACGTGTGGCCGCGCGTATAACTATATTGTCTCCTCGACCCCCCCCCCCCTCCCGGGCAAGTCATGCACTGAGCAACTGTCAACCCAAAAAGGACTGCACACGTGTAGGCCGCCCAGACCCCTACCTGACCTCCCACCTCAGCCTTCCACTCGAATACAACCTCTGCGGCCCTCTCCAGCTCTCCTGAGACCTAAGGTGTTAAAAAATGTATCGATCACACACCAAGTGCGTATATCACCTCAAGCCAATGTATGCGGCCACACGTGTAGGCGCGTTTCTTAGCTAAAACGTAAACGAGCGCCTGCACGAGTAGACGCTTATATTCGAGCTCGCCAAATGCGCATCTGCACGTGGAGGCGCTCATGTTAGCTAGGGCTCGCACCTGCACGTGTGGGCGCGTATCTGACACAAGCACCTACACGTGCTGGCGCGAGCCTTGGCTAAGATGCGCGCCTACACGTGCAGGCGCTTATTTTTGCCGCACTTTCCGGGGTTTGCCAGCACAGCTCGCGTTACAAAACCTTGATTTTGACCATTGCGCGAAAAAGGTACATCTCGGTGCCTTCCAGAAGCAGCTGCGACCCCGCTGACTGCAAGACGGTGAGCAAGCTCTTCTCGTGCGCGCTCCGAAGGGGCGGTCGAGCCTGAAGCGGTGGCTGCTGAGCCGGACGTGGCCGCCGAGACGGACGCGGCGGAGGAGAAATGCGACGATGCGGTCGGCGCGGAGGTGTCCCCCGTGTCCCCGCTGGTCCAGATCGTGTCGCCTCGCACCTCGATCCTCAAGGCGAGCGGCTGGGTGCAAAACTCCGAGTCCTTCCTCTCCAACCAGACGTCCGAGGCGAGCTCCGAGTCCGAGGCGGAGTGCGCCCAGGCCGACTCGAGCGGAGCGACGACCGCCGCAGCAGCCTGAGTCCGGCGGCCTCACGCGTCATCGCATGGATCGCGGCGATCGAGCCACGCCCCCCGGCCATCGACGATGTTCATTACAGACTCGCCTGTGCGCGGAGGACTGCCGCGCTGCTTGGCGCGGCCCCGGAAGGCTCTCATGATAGGGTCTCAGGGCCCACCCACCACGAGAGCGAGCCGCTTACACATACCGAGTAGAGCCTTCTCGAGTGGGTCGCCGCTCTGCGCGCCGGCCCTCGGTAGCGAGGGGCTGCCTTCCAGAGCGTGTGGGGGGAGAGTCTCTTTTATTTGCTCCATCATGGTTTGAGGCTCTGGCCTTTTGTCTTTTGGGTCCTGTGGGCCACCCTTAGGGGTCAGGGTCTGGATCCCGCCCGGGCCCCCAACGAAGGGGGGCCCGTTTGGTCTTGGGCCCTGGCACATACTCCCATACCGGAGTGGGTTTCGGGGGCTATTGTGCCCCCCCCCTGCAAGAAACCACGATCTCGGGGT